CCCTCTGCTGTTCGCGTGCGTGTGTGCGTGCAACCGCCGGAAGAAGCCAGTGCCTTTGGGTTCCGTTGCAATCCGTGTGCGTCCACGAGCGCTAGCACGCTACGTCGCCGCCGTTCTCCTCTCCGTACGTGTGTACGTCCGTAGAGGTGCTGCTACGTTGCGCACTACATGGTACGGTACGACATCTTCCTCGACGTCTACTACATCGACTATGCGCGATCTGCCAAGTCTTCCACTGTGTCGCGCGTCGGGAAGATATAACCTATGATCATCTACATGCAAGTGATCCTGTTTTTACGCGGTAATTAATTTGTGCTAGCGAGTAGCCATTCGCGTAACCCAACAGTGGGGGACATGAACAAATCACAGATTAAACCGAGTGACAGATCGACTCCCATATCAGGGGAACAGAGAGGGAGATTCCTCGTATCAGTAGCCACACACCTGGGACTCTACCGCAGCTACGCGCGCCGGGGAGCATCGCTGCTAGGGCCTGCGCTCTGGGGCCGCTGTTGCCACGATGTAGGAGAGAAGGGAGACTGCGTGGTACAGAAGGGGAAGAGAAGGGAGAAGATGAGAGAGAGAGACGACGGGCGTGAAGGAACTTAAAAGAATTGAGATCAAATTTCAGGTTTGAGTACCAGGAATACTGTTATCGGTTGGTGGCAATATCTGGTAGTAATAGCCCACCTTTTCTGCCGTTTGCAATATCACTGTTTCTTGAAGCCACGAATCGATAATTAGTATTATCACTGTCAATTCCATGAACCAGCAGTGATTGTATATTTTGTAGTAGTGTAACTAAATTTATATAAAATAAAAGGATACTAATATTCATCATATTAAATATGTACCATTATATTTGTTATGAAATATATTTTTATAGTATATACCTATTTAGAATTGCTATACTATTTTTTATAAATTATTGGCCCAATGGAACAAGCAAAAGCAGCAAGTAGGGACCTGAATGCAAATGGTGTAAGGATGTAATTTTTTTTTTCAAAATACAATACACGTCACGCACTTCCACCTTTATAAGGTGCCACATGTATAACTTATCCTTATAAACATCACTGCACATCACACAATTAAAAAGATGAATGTCGATATCGACAATGGTATCATTGTCGTTTCACCGTCAATCGATATATCATCTATTATCGAAAGAATAAATGTGAGAATTTGTACGGAGTCATAGACTTGAACCTGCTAGTGGGCAAGTTTACCATAAAGAACTTAACCAAATGAGCTACTACTGTACCATAGCCCAAAACTAATATTTAAATTTGTTAGAATTTGTACCGAGCCCATGAACCACAATTGCGTGGATAAATCAAAAAAAATTCTAAAACCGTCCGGCCGCAAGCATCCCCTATGGCCTATGCTACGTTGCTACTCCACATATAACGAGAGGACAAAACAATTACGGGAAAAGACAGTGATGGAATTCTAAAACAATTACGGGACAAAACAAGCACATTAGCACAGAGTACCACACACCGCAAGACGTACGGATGTGAGAAATCCTAAGAATACCCCCAACATCGCTGCGTGAATCATCACATTTCTCCCATGCTGTATTAACATGTCTAGATGGACAGCTGTACGTCCCAATAAGGAAAAAGACAAATCATTTGGTTTCAATTGAAAGAAACGGCAAACCATTCACTGAAATGCATGAATCATGTGCCTGATCATTGTCAAACATGTCGTTAATCTCTGAGCTTATGGTGCAGGGAACAATATATATACTAGCTACCGTGTGTTGGGTGTTGTCCTGCTACCAACAAGGTAAAGACGAATTTACGTCACAAATTTATCGAAACTAACAGAATTCCTGAGGTTATGGTTCAATATCAAATTCCATGATTTTGAAGATCCATAACATTCTCTAATTCTAATCTGAGTCTAGTTTGGTTACCAATGGTTTCCAATATAAGGCGGCAATTTTATTTCAGCGAATCTTAAACGTCGGCGCTTGCAGATCTAATAGACTCCACCATGGCCAGATCATGGCGGCGTGGCCATAGGCCATGGCCCATGGAGCACCACGATATTTAATTACCTAGTCTAGATAGCTTAACAACTTAATAGTGCTACTAAAACTTGAAAAATGAGTTATTTGAATGACGTAGTTTTTGAAAACTATGATCTCAAAAAACTTTTGTTTTATAAGCTAATAAAAGATATAAAACCTTGGTTTTAAAAAAAGAGGTCATAATATTTTTGACAAAATCATGGTGATACATCAATACAATGATCAATGGAATGGAAGCACTATGAAACCACGAGCTAGAGCAGAGCAGCCTTTTTTTAGAAAATGGAATATATTAATATCCCAGCTTCTACATCAACTAATGTATAGGACTGTTCATTATTACAAGCGAGCAAAACAAACTCCCAGGAATCTCAAAGAGCTCGCGGCTACAGTACTGGCTACATGTTGCGTCCACGGAGCGTTGGTATGGTGGCGAGGGACAGGCCGCCTATCAGCACCGTGAGCAGGGCAACGCCCGTCGCCGGAGGAGTTGCCTCGCCAGCGGCCAGTAGCCCCGTCACGGCCAGAGAAGCGACGGCCACTCCCAGGACACGGAGGCCCTCTCTGCGCAGGCGCAGGCGTTGAGCGCCGGGGACCTCGTCTTGCCCAACCATTCCAACCACACCGTTCCCGCCCTCATCTGCAACGGCCTGCACGAATGTGTACATGAGTAAGATTCTTTTGGTGTCGCCTCTATTGAAAAGCAATAACAACATGTAGCTCTACCTTTTTTTTCTCGAAAATCACAAGTAGCTCTACTGGATCCCCCAGTCTACGATTCAAAGAAAAACAGGTGTTTGAGCCCATAGAAACTCTTTGGGCGCAGCAAGCGTAAGCCCAGTCCACAGCCCAATTGCAATTATGAGCCCATCCAGGCTGCTTTCAGGTGGTTAAACGGATTTAACCAAACCCTGGGCCGTCGACGAGGGCGTGCTGCGTGCGGATGGGCGACCGCACGACCGCAATGACCCAAGGCCCCAAAATAGTTGGGCCTCCAAACCAGCAGGTCACGAGTGACAGCCTGTTTTTTTGTCACAACTCACGATCTTATGTTTTTTGGGGTCACCGTCAGCAGAAGTTTGACTCCTTAGATCTGTTGATCTGCTGCTTTGCTCGGTTAAATCGAGCGCTGGTCCCTGGAGGTGCTAAGCATGATCTTTCTTCTTTTAGTGATACGTCACTTTCATCGAACAGTGAAGTTATATAATGTTTATTCAAAAATACTATTCGCTGACCGCTGACCGCAAGACATTTGTTTTCCCCGCAAATTATTTCCTTTGCCCTAAAAAAAGTGCTGCTTAGTTTTTTTGTTTTTTTTCCTCGAACCCTTATTTGGCCCTAAAACGATTTTTTTTTTGTTTCTTGGCCCTTCCATTAGTTTGATGGACTAACGGTGTCAAGTTATACGCTAAATGACTCTTTTACCCCTGGCTTGAAAAAATAATTATTACAAAAAATACAAAAAAATAATGATTCCATGCTTGAAAAAATATTGTACCTTATTTTAGAAAATTATTGATAGAGACGGCCTGAAAGACCTGTGAAAAAATATTGGCCCTAAAATAGTCATTTCACGTACAGCTTGACACTGTTAGCCCATCAAACTAACGAAAGGGCCAAGAAACCAAAAGGAATTCCTTTTAGTACCAAATAAGCAAGTTCGAGAAAAAAAAAGACTAAGAAACTAAGCATCACTTTTTTTTGGGCCAAGGAAATAATTTCCTCACTATTAGTTTGTCTATTGTCTATTTGGTGCATGCATTAGCTACCCTAATCTCGGTTGGGTCTGATTACTATTCCTTCCATTCCAAATTACAAGAAGTTTTAACTTTTCTAGCTTCATAATTTTTTGCTATGCACTTAGATATACACTATATCTAAATAAATAGTAAAAACAGTATGGTCATGTTCGCTTGAACTTATCAACATGACTTATTAGCTATGGTATAGTGTTTTTTTCTCACAACAAATCAGTTTCAGTCAGCTGGTGTCAAAATGTCTTATGATTTGAAACGGAGGGAGTACGTTATTGTGATGATATATTGTTTGATAGACAATTTCTATTTTTTTATTAAATAACACATATTTGAAGTTAGCCTTTGAAACGCATAACATAATCATTGGATATATATCCTCAAGCCTTTCGTGCCCATTTGAAATCAAGCAATGTCCCGTTGAAAGTACCGGCAAATTTGCTAGTATAAATAAGAAAGGACCATATCTACATCGGTTGGTGTCGTTGGAATAAACAAATTGGACAGTTCATATCATCTTTTCGATCTGCCTTTGTCATCACATCATTGAGGCTAAGGCTTCTCTCTTCGATCCTCACAAGACCTGAAACGGACGATCGCCTCGCTTCATCAACCTACGTTTAAAATAGTGCCAAATCCATAGCCTCCTAAGACTGGGTTCACAAGCCTTGCCTAATACTACGCCAAATCGGTAGTTTTCTAATTTTCTAATAAGGTATCTCTCTTTCCTTAATTTTGCTTATTTATTACAAGTCAATTTTATGGACCATTGGACATAGGTTCAACCGTCCAGTGTACCTGATACCTCTATACCCTTCCCGCTCTCTCACGACACAGTTGCAGCTACCCGTCCTTATATTATGATGAATGATGGGAGGAGAGCGATGGAAGTTTAACCTAAAATTTAGGACTTTAGGACAGCTTCTACACCATTGTTTGAGTTATTGTCATGTACATCATAACATTCCTTTTATTCTATGCATAAATTAACGAATTGTGGATTACTATAAGACAACTCGTTATACAGGTTGTTTCATGAGTCAACTTAAGATTAAGTTTCCACTTATAAATGTACTCGCTCAAATCCATCCAAGGAGCGAGACAATTCTAGCTCTTCTATTCTACCCATCCCCCGTGAGATGAGATCCTATGGACGTGTTTGTAAAGCCTGAGCTCTATCATTAGCTACGGCCCCGCACTAACGGCTAACCTATCAACACTATGCTACCTCCGCTGCCACCAGCAACATCCCCGGCACTCCTGCAGTAGTCAGCAAAGGCAAGCCTAGCCCTCAACCACCTATCCCTGACCTAAATTGCTTGCCCAAATAAACTCAATTGATGGATAAGCAAATGCTGAGCAGATTTCTGATTAAATCACTTCTTTTAATTGTTCTTACTGAGAAGTGAGAATAAAGTCGTCTAGAGGCTATTCTAAAATGTTGTGCACTTCCTCGGTCTAAACAGAAGGAGCAGAGCTCCTGCCAAGTTCCTTCAAAAAGAAAAGAAATAAGACCAGCTTGCCTCGGCCAAATGAATAGATCAAATGAGCAATTAAGACTAACTAGGAAGGATGTGGTTCTGTGAGATAACAAAACAACCTCAGGAATGCTGTTGCGGGCAATGTGCCGGACGCCATGGAGATGAAGAGCGAGATGCAGGGTGGACTCTTCCTGAATGTTGTAGTCAGCTAGCGTACGTCCAACCTTGAGCTGCTTGCCAGCAAAGATAAGCCGCTGCTGGTCAGGGAGAATCCCCTCCCTGTCCTGAATCTTCACCTTGACGTTGTCGATCGTGTCAGATGACGCAACCTCGAGGGTGATGGTCTTGTTGGTCAGGGTCTTTACAAAGATCTGCATCTGCAGAAAAAAGCAAAAATATGTTGTCAGATGCCAAAACTCATGACTAAAAATAAGGCACAAAAGTTGACAATAATATGCTCAATTTCAACTGTATCAACATTACAATGACAATCCCCTAAAAAAAACATTACAATGACAATGTTGTGAGATACTGAGATGCCAAAACTCATGCCAAAAATATGTGAATCCACATTGCAAACCCAGAATTTTTTTCTAAGACTAAAAGAAAAGGTTGAGGCAAAAGTTGACAATAATATGCTCAATTTCAACTAATTGAAGGTTTCGACTCCAGCGTAAGCAAATTGAGCATTTTTCAAGTCACACAGTTGTTTCAGAATTTTAAAATGTATTCGAATTAAATTTCACGGAAGAACATCAAAACTGATTCCTATAAAAAGGTATTGGGAAAAATAAGGCACTGATGACAACACAACATCTTATAGTGACTTTAATATCTGAGTACTCACGGTTGCAACCATGGGCATTCTAGCAGATTAACTATAATCTAGCATTATCAGTAAAACTAGATGTAGCAATAAAATAGCCTCGGAAGCATAAGCGTTAGTTGACTTGAAAGGAAAAAAGCAGCACCCCTTGCTGAATTACTGAACACAATTGCTCCATAATACACAACAGATACCTTAAAGATCCAAGATACCACATGCTAAGAAAGCTATATACTGTGGCAGCTTATACAGATGGTAAATTGATGAAACAATTAAACACAGAAGTCAACAAAGCACACTTGAATATACAGATTAGTGACTCAGAGAGATGCTGACTGATCACGCAAACAAATTAGGCAGGGATATGAGCAAGTTAATTTGAAACAGGTGAGTCAATCCTGTAAAAGTTCATCCTGATGTGTGAGTGTGACTGCCAATACGTTGTTATAGGAATTCAAACAAGGTGCAAAGAAATCCATATCTTCGGACCAATTAGTTTCACTGAACTGGAAAAAAGTGCCCTATGGTTTCCTTGATTAAGAATTAGCATCAAATATTAAATCACAACAAAACTGTACTCCAGCTTTTGAATAAGTTAACAATCAAGTCCACATGTTTTAGAGTTCAGACAATAAAAGTCCAACTAAAAAGCACTCAAATTTAATTTTAGAGGATACCAAATTTGGATGATCTTCTTGATGTATAGAAGATAAACAACTAGCTAGTTTACTTCCGAGCCAGATGACAACATGCCATTTGAATATTCTGTAGTGACTTGCATTGCTGTGGCTCACAGCTAGGCACTCTACATCACGCATGGGAGACTGAAAAGGTGAAAAACTGGTGTTGGTAACCAATATACATTGTGCATGCATATAGCAGGGTTGGTCATTCAGTTCATAACCACAATTCTAGTATTATAAGAAGGAGACAGTTTGCAAATCAATATTTCCACAAATTATAAAATATAATACAAAAACAAGATAGCAGCAGAAGTACTACTTGAAGGAAAAATCAGAACTGCTGGATGAACTACTTAGTACAATTGTTCCATGGTATGACCTTGATTTTGCAGATGACAAAACCGTAGCAGAGTTTTGGACTATCCACTAATAAACAAATTAGCCAACTTATTGTTTATCCTCTTTTTGTTACGGGATGAGTGGGGGGGTCTTCACTTTTGCTGATGCCGGCGAGGCGGAGGAATCCCCCACGCGAAAGGCGTCCAAAAATACGCTTTTTCCCCCTCCTCCTCCCGTGAAGTTGGGACTCTAAAGTTTGGATCTTTTTTTGGTTTTCTGCTTCAGAATGTGGTAGGTAGATATGGATGGGAGAGCACTCAGAACAGGGGGCATGTTTGCGCGCGGTTGAGAGAGGGAGGGAGACGGTACCTTTTCAGGGTTGTAGTTCTCCGGCGCTTGCGTCCCCATGGCCGTCAGGGGTGCTTCCTCGGCGGCGTCCACAATGGAGAATGACAGAGGAGAGGCTGGGCTGGTGGGAAACCAGAGGAGGTGAAGATAGGGGAGAGGGAGACGAAGAGGCCGGCCGGCTCGTCGTCTACTTTATAGAGGCCCTGGCACGTTGACCGTAGACTCCACCGCATGCAGCAAGAGGCGTGTTCTCGCGCGTAACCTGTGCTCTGCTAGCATTCGTGCAAACCACGGGAGTTGGGGAGTTGGCTCAAGAGGGCATTCGTGCAAACCACGGGAGAACCACGGGAGTCGGCACATGCCCACTCTACGGTGGGACCAAAGGGTGCGTCCCACGTACGTAGCAACCTACTTGTATTTTCATCCTCGCTTCGCATAAAACAATTAACCAAAGGTTACTAATCGTCCATAGCCTAGCTATTTAAGCTGGTTCGACGAACTCATAATTCACGGTATGGTACTAAACTTATGATTGTACAGTATTTTATAGGTACAGTAACGCAGAGCTACAGTAACCAAATTCAGCCTAGTTCAATTCAGCGCCAATTCAGCGCTGCAACTACAGTACCCCCAATCACAATTCGGCCCATGAGCTGGGTCTCATGGTCCCCATGTCACACATTTGACATTTTGCTTCTTTTTTCGCGAGAATCACACACACATTTTGCTTGGGTCAGGCTCCACACTTTGCCAGATTTAAACCCAACTATGAACTGTAGAGCTACCTAAGCGTCTTAGTGGAAGTGGCACGGTACAATTTTGTTAGTCTCTCGAAATAAAGCCAATTGCATAATGTAGCAAAAAAATTCTTTATACATTTTCCAAATATTTATAGTTACAGCTATTACGTTTATAAAATCTAGACTAGATATAATCAAAGGGTTGACGCCACACAAAGAACGGATTAAGAGACCTTTTCTTTCTGTATGTAATTGGAGTCCGTTTCTTTCTATAATTGGAGTCCGTATGTTTTACCATAACTTTATCAAAAATGTGCCATGCATTTATGTTAAATACAATTTATTTAACGTGCCTGCTAAAGGCTTATTTGGATATGCAGGCAAACTAAATTAAAAAAATCCGTGCTAAAGATATGGTATATGCGATTATGCATACGTGAGCAATCCATGTTACTATAATAATAGATGGTTTTCTTTCGGATTTGTTTCAAAAATTCTTATTTTCAATAAGTGAATGAATACATATTTCTTTGTTTCCCTTCTCATGATTTGAATGGTTGCATCTTACCACCGCAACGAAAACCAGATCTGGGCAGAGGGACATTTGAGTTGTTTATGCCTCTGCTAGGCTTGCTAATGGGTTGGGTTGGAATAGACTAAATAGGTTACCGTTTGTTTGGTATGAAGGTTGGACCCGGATATCCTGGTTCAACCCAGATGACGCGCTGTTTGGTTTGTGGGTTGGGTGAAACTGGGTCGAACCCATCAGGGAATATGCTCCTAGATGCGGGTTGGTCTGATCCCTCCAAATCGAGCGGACCGTGTGGATGAACTGGGCGCGTGGGGCTGGGGCGCGGACGCCGGGGAGGGCACGGAGTTGGTGCGGCGCCGGTGCGGGGCACGGCCTCTAACTCTCCATGCGATGCGGAACTACCCAGGACGCTCAGGCTCTCCTTCTCGCGCTACTGCTCACAGACACGACCACCATGGCCGAGCAGAGCCGATGCCGCCGTTCCTCCGCCTCCCAGCTTGCCTCCGGGTCTGAAGCCACTTATCCAGCCCCGCGAAGCTCCAGCAGCACCACATCGGTGCTCCCCTCCGTCGTCGCGAAGCCGCCCCGCCGTCGGCCCCTGTGCGCGTGGTTGGCTAGCCTCGGGCCGCCGTGGAGCGAACCGAGGGCACCCGCTGATGCGCGCGGGCCTCTGGGTGCTCCACCACCACTCCCCGGTCGGTCTTGAGGCTGTAGGCGCCGGGAGGGCGGCAATGGCAGCAGTGAAGAGAGAGAAGAGGGCAAGGAGGAAGAAGACCCAGACAATGACATGTGGGCCCCATGTATCAGCGGTTCAGTTCTTCCCAACCCAACCCTCTAACCAAACAAAAAAACATAGGATGAACCTAACCCCTATCCAAATAAGAAATGGGTCCGACCCAGCCCTAAAAACTGGGTTGGGTCTAATCTAACCCTCTTAGTCCCTAAACCAAACACATGGTTAGATTCTCAAGTGAATACATGGTGGCGGATCTAGAAAATAGGCCTAAGAGGGGAGGCTAAATTAATATAAGGCTAAAAATCTTACTAGTCGTAAAACTAATAGATGTAATAAAGAACATAAATGATGATATCAATTTAAAGTGCTCAAGCTCTATGTAGAACATCAAGGATATAAAATAAAATACTAAATAAAGAGCATTTGATAACCAAAAGATCGTATATGTATTCACAACTCCTCGTCACTTTGGCCCCTGTCAATTCTACACAAATTAAGAATGTCATAGGTCTTCACGAATCAAGACAACATTATGAATTGAAATGAACGAATACAATATGCACTATTCATTCTTTGGGCCCTTGTGTGGTCTTTTTTCCAGTTGTACTACTCCGGGAGGTCGCCACGCCGGTGCTGGTAGCCGTCAGGCCGCCGGTGCCGCGAGCCCGCCCCCCACCCTCTCCGCCTCCATCTTGCGACGCGCTCCGCTGCTCTGCGGCCGGCCCTGCTGGTGGATCTGCTCCGCGCGCTGGCTCTTCCTCTCTCTTGGTGTCGGATCTGATCCGTCGCCGGCCTTGCCGGCACATGGACCAGACCACGATGGCGCACCACCTCTTCCTCTCCTCGGTTGTGCCTGCGCCCGGTTCCCCTTCCTCTCCTTATCCCTCCCCCTCCTAGAGTTTTTTTTGTGTGTTGATTTTCTCCTACGTATACTGAATAGTACGATTGCCAATTTTAGTCACATTTTAATTTCAATACATTGCTCAGATTGGTACCTCCTATCCATAATAGGTCGCCTTATTATTTGTTTCACAGAAAATGACTAGCGTACATGTTTCCGTTATCAAATTTGTCAGCTGTACCATTTTTCCCCATTAGATTACAGCATATATATTGTATATAAAAAAAATCCCTGTGTTTCTGCTATACTGCAGGTCAAGGAGGACCGCTTCATCCTATGAGACTCTGTTGTGATGATCAGTCCAATGGCTCAGAATCAGGAGTAATGGCCAGTGTTGAAAAAGGGAGCTTTTCTTTGTACCTTGGAACTAACAAACTAACATGTTATCTTCCCAATTCAAGTAGGTAAATGCAGAACCAGAAGAGCAAGGAGAGCTCAGAGAAATCACCCAATCCTAGGCCATTCAGGCTTACGGAATGATGTGAGTTTTTACAATCTCCAATTCTCACTGCATCTCTAAAATATGTTTAACTGAATTGTTTTCATCATCATTATGGGTTTACCATGTACAACTCTGACCCTGAATATGTGCTCTATGATTACAATGAGAGGAAATCCAACACTGAATAGTTTAGTGACGCTTTTTCCCCTTTCAAGTAATAGTCATAAGATGCTCCACATGATCTCTACCTGATGGATGATAACTGCGTGAATGATATAGTCATATATGCATTGGTGCTTTCCTCAGACTGATTGTGTTCCAACTATGCTCTCTAGGTTGTGTATTTGCTTTACAGTCTGATAAGCATTTTTTTCCCGGCAAAATAAAATGTATCGCTTAATGTTACATCATACCATTTTTACAAAACCTTCAGCTTTACCGTTACACATATTGGCACTCAAGGTTTCCTCACATGCACCAGCAGCAAAATAGTTTTATTGGGTTACCATGTTCTTCGGTTACCTTATTTTCGATTACTATAAAGTTGGCCGCCGAGTTTAGGTATGCTATGCCTCCTCTTTTTCTATTTTGCATGTTTCTCTGGTCTTCAGTCTTGGGATGCACTCATTTGCTTCACAATGTATACTTTATACTTGACATGCTACTAATAAAGGATATAAAATAGCAGGTACCCATATATTTTCATTGCCCAGTATTAATGTTGTGTTCCAACTATTATTGTTTAAGTACCTATGATCAATGAAACTTAATATTAAATATTCGATATTTGATGGACCCCCCAAAAAAAAAAAAATGTTTAGTTACAGACTAAAGTTCAGGGTGCCAGCACTTCTTCTCATGACATTAGGCTACATTAAAGTTCTCATAATTCTTTTGCCTGTTTCGCCTGTTAAAGTTAACAAACAAACATTTTTTCTTCCCACCTGGTGTCGGTGCTAATAGCATTAGTCAATTATCTGATGAAGATGTTGTTTCCCATATTACCATGCTGCAGATCTTCCATGAACCTGACAATGATGTGCTTTGGCTTCCAGGGGATTTTCATATTTATGTTGCGAATATGTTTGCTGCTGCCAAGGTAAGTACCGGCAATAATATATATGTTAGAGTATGTCGGGGGCCTATTGGGCCTGGGCTGACTGTATAGCCCGTTAGGGTTAATTAGAGATAAGGGTCGCTTGCTTAGGGGTCAAGTAAGCCTTGCTTGGGAGTCAAGTAAAAAGGGCGTACCCAGTGTAGAGACCTCCCGCTCTGTGCAGGGTCTGGGGAAGGGTGTTAGTGGCAAGCCTTACCCTCGCCTGTGCAATGCGAGGAGACCGCGACTCGAACCCGGGACCTTCCGGTCACAGGCGGTAAGACTCTACCGCTCTATATAAGGAGAGGAGATGTATCAATCTAATCAAGCAAGAATTAAGAAGAAAAACCTTCCCTCTTGCTCGGCCATGGTCAAAGGCCCCGCGGCCGGCCCTTTCTCGCCCTCACAGCCCCAGCCGCCACAACTCCGAGCGTGCGTTTTCCTTCTTAATTCTTGCTTGATTAGTTTGATACATCTCCTCTCCTTATATAGAGAGGTTTACTTGACTCCCAAGCAAGGCTTACTTGACCCCTAAGCAAGCGACTCTTATCTCTAATTAACCCTAACACTAACGGGCTATACAGCCAGCCCAGGCCCAATAGGCCCCTGACATACTCTAACAATATACTTTCCACGCATTTCTCCTATGCTGCAAAGATTCATGGTTTTTAACACATTTAATACCATTTGCTTGCTAGATCTTTTTTGCTGTAGCGTTTGTGTGTCATGCACTGCTTAAATTGAGACCCCATTTTCGCAAGGATCAATGCGTCTGTAATTGCTCTATGGAACGAAAGGAATACGATTAACTGAGAACCAATATTATCATCTAAAAAATATTAAAAAGAAACTAACACTGTAAGTGAGCACAAATAGTCATGGCTATAATCTGACATTTCTTTATAAATGCTATGCTGAAGCAATAGCTTTTACATGGCCTGCTTTCTAATAAACGACAATCTGCAAAGAAATCTTTACTTGATGCTTCCATTTTCAAGTAGGAAATCTGTACAATATTTATAAGTACATCTTATTGCTTATCTTCCAGCATTTGTGTTTGTAAGTGCAGCCTGGAGCGTGTATGTTTATACCACTGAATGTGCCAACAGAAGCACCAATTTAAGTGAACAATAAGCAATATGACGCCATTCTGCGTTGACGTCGTTCCCCTGCCAAAGCATAGAGGGAAAACAAGCTGCTCAAAGCCACAAAAGGTACTTTGCACATCTCAAACTGTTGGCTGAACACCTTAACTGTCAACTTTGACTGCTGCTACATCACCATTGCATGCAACAAATCTTCTGTTCTCTTAGTAGCATTTATGTCAGTCAGCTGTCTCCATGAGTCACGCCCTCAAATCTAGAACTGTTAATTGAACTACTTAATTGTCACCTGCTGACTGAATGACGCTATATCACCATGGCATGCATCATGTCTTCTGTCGTCTTCTACCACTACATTCATGTTGCTGCCTACGTGATGCAGCCGTATCTCCATGAGTCACGCCATCAGCATTCACTGCGTTGCCCACGAGTCACTGACAGACGTTTCCTGAACACAAAGAAAGAATCGAACGGGAATGATGCTGGTGGAGGCAGCAAGGCAACGTTCAGCAAACCCCTTACGCGGCAGGTGGCATCTTCAAGTTCAGAGATCCACAAGTCAGATCTGCCCAACCCAAGCAGCGCCTGTCGGGTTCAGAGTTGTCAAGCAGAAATGGAATTGTAGACCTACTAAATTGACGTGCCATGATCCTATGATGTAATGAAGCTCTTATGATCCTAAAATCTTAATCAACAATTAAGATATAAGGCATGTAATGATAAAATTACCTACCGTTGCTATTCTCACGCGTGTTGGGGGGCTGACTAGTTTTAATCTCTCTCCTCCCCCCTATAGTCACACAGAGTGTGCTAGAGTGTTGTATATATGTACAGTGCTTAAGCAATACAATAAGAATCTTTCCTTTTTTGTTCTGTTGTTCTCTCTTATCTTGTGCTTTTATTGGCATTCTAGGTGCATGACATTGGTTCTTCACCGATTGAAATTGTAAAAGCTTTTGTGGGAGCACGTAAATGACTACCAAAAGCGGAAATTCAGAGCTTTGAGTCATGGAGTTGTTGAGGTTCAATTCGACACCACAATTTTTTTCGAAAATTGCTACTGATTCTTCTATATGTTGTCCTGGTTCAGTTGTTAGAGGTTATCCCAATTGTCTTACACCACAAAGTAATAAAGGAAAGACTACCTCAGCCTCTATCTCGCACACCTTACAATAGCTCAGTTTCTTGGAGATCTATTAAAGGTTATCTATTGACTTTCTTTGCAATTGAGTTCTATTCTACCTTGTATGGGATTGAGTAACATTGTTCTCCGTTTGAAACGTTGTCAAACCTGAGTACATTTGAGTATAAGTAATTCCTGCAATTCTTGCACGGCATCCCGAAAAGCTTAGAAGAATGATTCACCTGTGGCAGAACCACCCTAATTATATGGTCCACATATACCTGTCATTGTCTTTAAGACCTCCGACTGCTGCACATGAGAGCCAGATAACTCAGGTAGTCTATCGGGTGTCCTCGGGGAACCCCGAATCATATATATTTTATAACTCATACATGATCAACATGGAGTTGCCATAATATTACAACAGTTGGTACAAGAATATTGTACATCACAGTGCGGAAGACTTATAACGTTAGTTTACAAAACATGATTAAGTATAAACTTAACTAAGGATGTGTTTAGTTCCTAAAAAGTTTTCCAAAAAATGCTATAGTAGCCATCACATCGAATCTTGCGATATGTGCATGGAGCATTAAATGTAGACGAAAAAAAACTAATTGCACAGTTTGGTTAGAAATCGCGAGACGAACGTTTTGAGCCTAATTAGTCCATGATTGAACACTAATTGTCAAATAAAAACGAAAGTGCTACAGTAGCCAAATTTCTAAATTTCGTGAACTAAACACAGCCTAAGTTCCAAATGGTGAGTAGAATTGCGGAAGCGACTTAGGTGAAACACCTAAGGTAGAAGAGACAGCCAAATCATGTCGAGCCCACTGACATGACCTTGATTAGCAGCTCGAGTCAGAACCTGCAACAGGGGGATTTAACAAACCTTGAGTACTTAAGGATACTCAACAAGTCTTACACAACTAAAAGGAAAGACTCCAAGGGTATGCAGGCTTAAAGAAAAGATAGAAGCAAGAAGTAACTTTTGCAGAAAAGCTTACTACTAGTGGATCCTTACTTTCAATGTTTTAGCTTCGTATTAAGTTATTTGTAGTATCCAGTTTGCACCTGGTCTAAAGCAACCACTTCATTAAACATCTCATCTCATGTTCATCTCTTATTCACCAGTAACCATGTTCCATTGATTAACACTACGATGTAGATCGGGGAATCGAGTCTCCATAACCGAGGAGCACAACAATTCGAATCGATTAGGCCCAGCTGGGGTTTTCTTACCACACGACATGTACAGGTTCTGGACCTACGTATATCAATTTTCACTCGGATCCTCCAAAACGCGAACCAGTCTGCGCTACTCGAGAATACGGTACTCCACCTCCCTGCGCCGTCCCGGACGGATTCATAGGATGGGTACACGCTACTCTCGCCATCTCCCACTTCCAGTGCGCAGTTGTCTTTTCACATAATGGAATAGCCGAGGTATCAGGTTTACCGGAGTATGTGGCCAGTACTGCAAGGTCTCGAACATGATAGGTCTACAATGGTACGATCCTCAATCAACACAGGCAGGACGAGCACGACCAGGCGAACCTGTCTGCCCAAGAACACTTATCATAACATCGAGTCTCGCCCGGTCTCAATTTAACATTATCATATCATGGTATTCTCACGACCCAAAAGTAGAGCCAAGATAAACATATTCTTTACGAACGATGAAACCACCATTCGACTTCTACCGAAGTCTAAGCATCACTAAGCACCTGAAATATCGACCTACATATACTAGCAGGGTACGACTAAGGATACATGAAGATCAAGGTAATCATGCAGTAACAGTATTCGACCAACTCTTAATTTCTTAATGCACATATCACAAGACTTAAAGTGTAATAAAGTTTTGTAAATACTAAGAGAAGGGTAGTATGCTCCGAGGCTTGCCTGCGTTGCAGAGAAAGTTCCACAGAGATATCCATAGGTTAATCTTGGCACCAACACCACGGTGGATGAACTTCCTCTGAATCTTGATCAACATGAGTCTTCTCACTCTCGTTTGTACTACACGTAATAAATGATGATTTGCTTAACATGATGGACTACATGCCATGATGCATGATGAGAGACATTCAAATGCATAACAGAAGATAAACAAAGTTAAGAAAGTTTTTCCTTCACTAAGGAACTAGGGTTATTATTATAAAAGTATCGTAGTTCATTAACTATCTAGTTAATTAGTTGTTATCATGAAAGGAACTAACATGAACTAGCAAAAGATTAACATCTATCTTAAGTCATGATCATTATAAGAAATTAATAATTAAGCCATATTAATTATTATATAAACAAGTTGATCATGTGGTTATTAAGAGGGCAACACTTATCACATTATACTATTCAAACAAGGCAAGGTACATTACTAAATTACATAAGTTCAACCATGAGGGTAAACAAGGATCATCACATGATCTAATCACATGCATTTACTAATTAGTCATTTGAGTAAACTACTTTATTTATTAACTAACAAGTTAATTATAAGCATAACATGGAAAGGATTAAGTTGCCAAGGAACAACACAAGGAGTAGTGTTCCAAGGTCTACAATCAACTCCAAAATACACCAAAGCCATTTAAGTATTTTCCTAAATTATTTTAGTATTTATTTACTTAAAGAAAAGTCATTTAAACACACTTAAATTAATTAACCAATTTAGAACTATCAAAACAGTACCATAATTTTTATGAAGGCAGGTCTAAGAATGTAAAGCATACACAAAAAAGTTTCATGATTAAAGCACAATTATTTTATCCTATAAAAATTATACAAGGTCCATTTAATAATTAAAATATGTAATTTTTAAGCATACCAAAACCACTGAAAAAGACCAATTAATATTTTTCCATGGTAGGGAATCTCATCACAAAGCTACACACAAAATTTCACAATTTTAGCATGCTTCTAGAATTACTTATGAATTAAACAAAATTGACCACATTTTAGCTTTTTCTGAAAATAATAAACCGAAGGGAAAACATTTTGCACCCACAACCTGCTAGCCACTGAGACTGACAGAGGGGCCCCGGGTCAGCAGAACAGTACCCCGCGTTGACCGCGGCGGACACCGCCGTTGACCGGCAAGAACTCGCCGGCGGCGAGGTCTCAGGCGGCGGGGTTTTCACCTACACGATCTCCTCGACCTCGCGCATCCATCTAAGCTATCGGTTGAACGAGTAAAGCCACACGGCCAGCTCGACGCCGGCCATGCGCGGCACGGCGGCGCTCCGGCGTGGCGGACATGCCCGACGGCGGGGTTAGCAGCGACGCGGAGGAAACCAATAGATTCCTCGTGCTCACGCGAACTCAAAACAGCTGCTGGTTGATCGAGCCACGGCCAGAAACGAACTTGGCCACAGCCATGGCTGCTTGGCGGAACAGAACACGGCGGCACGACGCGTTCTAGCCACCACAGCATAGTAGCGGTTAGAAGGAGGGGGGCGGTTAGCGTTAGGATGCTCACCACGACCTCGACGGCTAAACGATTGAAGAGGAGACGGATCAGGCGGCGCTGCTGTCGGCTCCGGAGGCTCTGGCGCGACCAGCTAAGGAATCACTCAACCGCCAAGCTTGAGAGCATAGCCCGATCCTAAGGAACCTCGAACAGCAAATAAGGGGGCTAGGGAGGCTTTGGAACAACCCGGCCACGGTGAGGTGGACGCGGCAGCGATGGCGGGGTGATCGCGGCGGCAACCGGCGCTGCGGCTGATTTCGCTGGCGAGGAGTGGCTTGAGCGGGTCCAGGAGGAGCGTGGGGGCTATGCGAAGCTATGGACACGAGCTGACGGACGGGGGCGTGATGGCGGTGATGAATTGCGTCAGGGCGCAGAGGTGACCGACAGCGAGGGAGAAAAAGGGAAGAGGGAAGACAACGGCTGGCGCGAGGTTAAGACGGCGCGGGTGGCTTCTACAGCTTCGCCACCTCCTGCTTGGTCGTGACACATGAGTTGCTGCGTGTCCAGACGTGAGAGAACAGCGAGCGAGGGCGGCGGGCGGCGAGCAGGCAGACTGGACGACGGTGACCAGTGTAGCCGACTGAAACCTCCACTTCAGCTCTCAATTGCTCGTGATTTTGCAACACGACTTGATGATCGACCTTAAGCAAAGTTAAACCTTGATCGGGAGCTTCAACATTGCTTAAGAGCCCAACATAAAAAAAACATGATGGTTTGCAAGATCTTGGATTTTGAAAACAGGCACATTGAAACAAGAAGCTGAGAAACAGTCAGGGTTTAGGAAATTGCTTTGAGTTGGCTATTTTGGGAATTAATTTAGGATCAACCAATAATCAAACACCTCAACCCATTTCACAGTTTCATAGCTCAAGTATAGGACCAATCAATGGAACTAAAGTTGTATAAATTTTATTGATAAAAATTGCTTTAATAAAATCCCAAACATTGAACTTTATAACTAATAAAAGAGACAAAAATGACTATGAGAATTAGTTATAGGATTCAATCTTTGAGCTCAAATTCAAAC